GCGAAGCACCAGAGTCAAGTGTGAAAGTGTGCAAGGCCTCAGTAGATGCAGTACCAGAGAGAGAAGACTCACCAGCACCTGGAGCAGCAGACTCACTAGTACCTGGAGCAGCAGACTCACTAGTACCTGGAGCAGCAGACTCACTAGCACCTAGAGCAGCAGCCTCAATGCCCGGGTCGGGCGGAACACACAGGTAACAGTCACCCTCAGCACTATCAGTCACAGCATACATGGCAGCAAGGATAGCATCGAAATCAAGATCAAAGATAGCAACATTCTGCTTAAGCAGATCACCCCAGCGAGGGAGCTCAACAGCGTCAGGAAACTGGGCGCTCCAGGCGTCAGTCAGGCGACTGAAGCAGCGCTGCGTAGTGTGTGGCAGCCCGCACGTCTCCCCACGGCGCCCGCCGGTGCGAAGAACGTAAGTGCAGGGACCAACACCCCCAGACCTCCCACACCCAGCGTACCACTCACAAAGCTGCTGGGCCGACGGGGTCTCACGGGAACGCGGTTGCTGCTGGCGCTGGCTACCACCAAAGCCTCCATGCTGCGCGGCTCCACCTCGACCAGCACCACCGCCGCCGCCACCTCCACCACCGCTGCCGCTGCCTCCACCGCCGCTGCCGCTGCCTCCACCACCCCCACCGCCGCCACCGAAGCCCCCACTCCCGCCACCACCCCCACCTCCACCGCCACCCCCTCCGCCTCCTCCACCGCCTCCACCGCCGCCCCCACCGTCCCCTCCACCACCCTTTCCCCCCTTGCCCTTGCTGTTGCGGCGCCTCCCACTACGAGCAGACGCAGCCCCGACCTCCTCAGTGCCAACGAGGTCGACAGCAGCAGCAGAAGCAACAGAGGGGAGAAGGGGGACAGGGGAACACCCCTCAAAGAAAGGGGCGCAAGGGTCGCCGCGAGAAGCACCTACAGCAACGATGCTCTTCTCAGCTGCAGTGAGACGCTCCTCTAGCAGGTCGACGGTGAGCTCGGTGGGGCAAAGGGAGAGAAAGTGGTCCCTGACTGAAGCAAGGGAGTCAGGGAGGCGGGTGACTAGGTAGTAAAGGGTGATGTACATGGGGGGGGGGGGGGGGGTTCTTGGCACAGAACTCAGTGGGAAGCGCAGCGCGGTAGCGGGCGTCACTAGTGCAGAGGTGAGTAATGAGGTCAGCGACTGTGGCAAAGGCGGCAAGGTCAGGGAACAGGTACGGCAGCATGAGGCGGCTGAGGGCAGCAGTGGCAGGGGAGGAGTAGCGCACTATGACAGCGTCATACAAAGACTTAGCAGTCTTGTACTGGCCAAATTGCGCGTGCTCAGCAGACGGCAGGTGACTACGAACAGCAAGGCGAGCAACAGCGTCACGAGTGGTCCATTGCGAGCGAACCGTACTGTCACCAGTGGCAGCAGGTGCAGGAGAGACACCGGACGTGTGATCGAAAAGGGATACTCCGTCCTTAGAGTCACACTGAAGAAAGAGCTGCAGGTCATCAACCCACACGTCAAAGTCAACCGCACGCCCCTCAGCATCAAAGGTAAGAACATTAGAGCTAGCCATAGCGGCAGTAGCAGTAGTAGCAGCAGTAGCAGCAGTGGCAGCAGAAGCAGCAATAGCAGTAGGAGCAGCGCGGGCAGGGCAGTGCGGCTCAGTAGGGCGGCGCGGCTCGACAGGGCGGCACGGCTCGGTAGGGCGGCGCGGCTCGGCTGGGCGGCGCGGCTCGGCTCCTGGCGGCGCGGCGCGGCTCGGCTCCTGGCGGCGCGGCGCGGCAGGGCGGTGCGGGTGCTTACCAGGGGCGGGTGCAGGGCAGGGCCGCAGTTGGCGGTTAGGTCAGGGCCGCGACTGGGGCGGCAGCAGGGCAGGGCCACTACTTGGCGACGATAGAGCAGGGCCGTGACTGGGGCGGCTGAAGGGCAGGGCCGCGACGCGTCGGCAGCAGCGCAAGGCCGCGATAGGGCGGCGGCAGGGCAGGGCCGCGGCTGGACGGCAGGGTAGGGCAGGGCCGCGACGAGCAGCGGCAAGGCAGAGGCCGCGGCGGGCGGCAAGGTCAGGGCCGCGACGAGAGGCGGCAGGGTAGGGCCGCGACAGGCGGCTAGGGTAGGCCGCGACGGGCGGCAAGGCAGGGCCGCGGGTGGCGGCAGGGCAGGGCCGCGACTAGGCGGCTAGGTCGGGGCCGCGACGAGGCGGCGAGAGGGCAAGGCCGCGACGGGCCGAGAAAGCAGGGGGCCGCGACGGGCCGTTAGGGCAGGGCCGCGACGGGCCGAGAAGGTAGGGCCGCGACGGGCGGCACTAGGGCAGGGCGCGCGACGTCGCACGTGAGGCAGGCGCGAGGCGCGCTTCGGGCAGGGCAGGAAAAAAAAATATCGTGGTGGGCCCTAAAAAAAACGTTCTCACGAGGGAACCTGCTCAGAATACCATGTCAGAATAGTGAAGGAATGAATGACTGAACTAGCAAGCAGGTGGGTACAAGTAGGAAACCTAAAAGTGTTGTACCCTATATGAAATACCCCACTACAGCCTAGACAGACTATAGCATATAAGTTTGACACATTCGGCTTGTGATACTCCATAGATGCTTGACGCACGCTGATTGTATCTTCTTCTTTCAAAAATGACACCTGAAGGCGGCTGTATTTTGTCTTTGCGGCGTATGCAGGGTGAATGTCCTGAAAGTTAACTGGTGTGTTAGCACCGTCAAAGAGCAAAGAAGACCAGACGCGTTTCAGCAACATCTGCACGGTTATAATAACCAAAGCCATTTCATGCTGCAGAATGAGCGGGAGTAGCAGGATGGCCGTGTAGCGTAGCTTCGCGACGGAGTCCTTGGAGATCTCAAACTCCAGTTCATCATCCGAGTCATCGTCTGTGAATTCGTCATCGTTGACATGCGCGGAGGTAAATGCAGCAAGTTTTTCCTCCAGCGACAGACCCGAGCTCCCTGGTACCATAGAAATGACCGGTTCATCATTCTCCACTTGCTTTTCCTTGTCATCAGACTTCGAATCGGCGTCAGTAGCAGCGCGCTTCTGCACCGGTGGTGCTCGTTCCTTTGGAGGCGCACGCAGCATGGTGCAATGATGAGCAAGATCCAACAGCTGAAAGCTTGCAAAGGCCAGAAATGCCTGAAGTGCTGGACGTCTGAGCCTAATCTGATGATATAGGCGCATTGTCCCTTCAGCAGACCAGTATTCATGGTGTAGGTGTTGTATTGTTGCTGACAAGACCGACGGATGTTGGCCAGTAGCCTTGATAACGCCATGTAATAAGAGTAACCAATCCTAGTCTTGTGATGAGATACCTTGGAAAGCACGATGGATTAATGTCAAGAAACCAGATAATGAAGCCTTGAAGTTACATGGCTGAAGGAACCTGAACAGCAGATGCCGAGAATAGGTTGATACGATGTCCGCCTGATGGACAATAAAAGTCTACCAATCGATTCGTCGTGATAAGGCGATTATGAACATGTGGTCCTTAAAGCCAACCAGGCCACACGATATCAGGGTAAAACATCCTGATTACCCTGATTTCATGATAGTGTCAGGAGTTTTCCTTGCAATTTCAGGATGATGGTATATTTTACCCTGTGACTTCAGGATAATTTTCGTGTTGAGCCCTGGAATTTCAGGAAGTCTATGAGATTTTGCCCTGAAGCACCAGGACGAAGGTCGAGGACTGCCCTGATGCATATGCAGAAGGGGAAGGGGTGTGGGGGGGATGGGGAAGAGGGGGGAAGGGGCGGGGGGGTGTGTGTACTGGTTTTGCCTCCTCCCAAGGATTTTGTCGCTTCCTCATCGCACCGTACTATGCACGCACCGGGCTTCCCACTCATATCGTGCCTTCCCCTCCACCTCTCTCATGTCTTGTGATTTTTTTGCCATGAGAGATCAGGATGAACTCCTGTTGGTGCCCTGAAATTTCAGGATGGCCATACAATTTTGCCCTGAAAAATCAGGGCATTATTGAGAATTTTCAAAAGTTGCTCTGAGGGCTCAGGATGCCCAAAATCCTTGCACAGGCCCTGAAGCCAACTTACAAATCTGCTTCACGAAATGCTGGATTAAATACCCTGAAGAAATCCATGGAGGCGATCTCGAGGCTCATTGTCATCTGACAGGTGAGGTAAAAGGTTCGTGGTTCGTGGTAATGGTATTAAACATTTCGAGCATTCTTCATGGCTAAAGTGAGAACATATATGCCTAAAGTGAGTACATATATGCAGATGCTTCCTGGTATGTTTTCGTGAATATCGTTATGCTGTGTTCGCGAGTAGAGCAAAGTTACGTAGGTGATTTCGTACTTGCAAAGTGTTGCTGACCTGTCGGGTTTTCAGCCGCGGAGATGCAAGTGTCGCTGAAGCATGCTCAAGCTCGGGACCACGTGGCAGTCTGACGAAGAGAACAGCATCATAACAAGCCCCACGGCTCTAATGAAATTCCAGCGACTGGTTTTGCGCATCGTCATTGGTCGCACCTTCAGAACCTTTCTTCCCGTCCGTGAAATTTCTCCACATTCTAATCACCTGTCGCTTGGCTGTCGTCACGTGCTCATAGGAATCTTGGGGAATCGCCTGCGTTGTGTGTCAAAATCACTGGCACCTTGTTCAGACATCTGAAGCATCTGTACCACTTCCAAATATTTTCCAACCGCAGTATACCCCTTTCTTCCATCTGTCCATGGTTTTGTGTCTGCCATTGAAAGATGCTACTCTCGCAGATGCTGTTCTGGTCAGGCAATGAGCATCAAGAGAGGCCATAGAGTGCTTGCAATTCGACAGCAATCAAACCCGATATTACCAGCAAGAGGCTAGGCAAAGATCTTTTTACAAGTCCGAACAACAGATCTCGCTCTCGACTCTTGCTGAAGTGTCACTCTCGACCAAACCACGTGATTGAACAAACCAAACCAAGTCTTAGACGCAACCAGCCGATCCGGCGAGGCCAGTCTTAGACCCGTGTGTTGGCCAGTCTTAGACCCGTGTGTTCTGAGACCGTCACGTGACGCGTCGAGATGGTGCTATGGGAGCTGACGCTGGCGACGGCGTATTTCCTCGGGCTCAAGCGCACGTACCGCCTGGCGCTCAAAATTCAGAAGAGGGTCCTCCTTGCGCGACCGGGGATTCGCGACTTCGCGAAAAGGTCAGTTTCGTTTGAGACCAATCCAACTCGTGCATTCTGAAACGTCTCAGACGTCTCAGCCGTCTTTGACGCCAGGTAGCTGGTCCGGTCAAGCCGATCGAGTTGGTGCTATGGGAGTTGACGCTGGCGACGGCGTATTTCCCGAGGCTCAAGCGCACGTACCGCCTGGCGCTCCGAATGCAGAAGAGGGTGCTTTTCTCGCGACCCGGGATTCGCAATTTCGCGAAGAGGTGAGCTGTGCGTTGTGATCGATCTCATCTCGCCGATTCGATCTGGCGGATCTGATTCGACCGAGCTGATGATCGCTCCGATTTTTCGTGTTCGGGTCTATCGGGCGTATCGCGCCTGAGTGATTCCACCTGACCGAAGGTGAATTGCGAGTCGACTCCAACATCACCTCCGGATTCCGCCTTGCTGATCCCATCTGACCGATTCTGCGTTTTTAAGACGAACTGCATGACTTTTGTTGGCTGAACTCAGCACCTGGCCGATCAAGGCGGGCTGACTGCGCATGGCGAATCCTGGTCTGGCCTTCCGCTTTCCGTCATACGATTGTGTAACCTTAAAAGGTTCGCACATTTCTGCAGCTCCCCTTGTTCGCTTCCGTCGTCACTAATCTCCTTCGCTCTCTTACTTTCTCGCTCATTCTCCTGCTCCCTTGTTCCCTTATCTTGCCCTCCCTTCTCCTTCCAGGCGCACGCGAGCAGTGTTCAGAGTGGCACTAACAGCTGTTGAGACCATCCAGCACAGGGACATCGAGATTGGTCGCTCTGTGGGAAACTTCCTCCTCCGCTTCCTCGACCGCATGAAGCCCTCGGCGCACATCCGAGGGGATGGGCCACACATGCCAGGAGGGGCGGGAGGAGGGGGTGTTCATTCGAGCCATGCACCACCCACGCCGGGAGGAGCAGCTGGAGGTGCTCCTTCAAACCATGCACCCATAACGGGAGGTACAGCAGGGGGCAGTGGAGCCGTTTCAAGGCATGGTGTTGGAGGGTCACATGCAGGTGAAGCAGCAGCAGGACAGCACACGATTGGCAGTAATGGCAGCAGTGGCAGCAGCAGTAGCAGAAGTTTTAGCACCATGATCGGCCAAGGCGGAAGCAGCAGCAGAAGTAGCAGCAGCAGCCCTGTTAGCAGATGCGTGGGGAGCCAGGGGCACTTGCGCACTCACGCATTCACCTTCAATTCGAACAGGAAACCTCCCTTCTTCTCACAAAACCTGCCATTCTTAGCACACCTGCAGGCCCTCACGACCATCCCAGGCCACACGTTGCAAAGCAGAGCACTTCAGATTCATGGAGCCCCTTCACTCGTGCTACCAGCTGCCCTGCAAGCCCGAGACAGCCTGCCTGCCATGCCCCACTATCTCCAGTCTCCCTTATTTCAAAAGGCTTTGTTTCCATCACAGCTCATCCCTGCTCCCTCCACGTATGTGTCGTGTCATCATGCTGCTGGTGCCACCCCTACAACGTTCTCCTGCTTGCCAAGAATAGTCCAACCGCTGCTTGCATTCCCTCCCAGATGACCAGCATTGTTGGAGCCGTCGCAAACAGCACTTCAAGCCTCGGTTTTGGCATGCTTGAAGACCAGTCTAATCACTGGTGGCATGTCCGCTGATGTGACAAGCATGATTGAAGCTGCCGCACAGCAGCTCAAGTGTCGCCAGTCTAGTGGGGATAGGCTGGTCGAGCTTGGCTTGCCAGGGATACGCTGACTGTTGCTGGCTCCCCTTCCAACTACGTGAGCAGTTTATTGCAGGAAAGAAGCGAAGGTTCTCTTAGAGCATTACTTCCACGTAGTTGTTAGGATTCTCCAAGAGTTGGGTTTTTTTGGATGAATGGTACTCCCGCCTCTGAAGAAAGAAATTCGCTAACGTTTTGGCGATACCATATCTGCCTCTTCAGAATTAGAAAATATATTGTGCCAAACAATTCATCCCTCTTAAGGATTAGTGAATGGAGGTTAGAGACAAACGAAACAAATAAAGAAATGGATGATAAATTGAAAGCGGTTAGGGTACTCGGCTCTCACCCGAGTTGAGACCCGGGTTCAAGTCCCAGCATCGGAATGTTTTCTCCAAGGTTGAATGATGATGCTTGTGTTCAGTAGTATGCCTCCCGTACACCCCAGTATAGTATGAAACCTCTCACATAGGCTTTTGTTATGTTAGTTGCCTCTCTCACATTCCATCATGCGCAAGGCGACGAGTATAAAGCCATGATCTTGTTTGGTAGTCTGCCTCCCGCAAGGTCCACGCTCGAGGTGACAAGTGTTTAAGCCTCTCACTGGCTCGTGCTCGGTAGTCTACCTCCTGCACACTCCACACGGAAAATATAAAGGCTATCAAAGGCTCGTGTTTGGTTGTTTTGTCTCGATGCTCGCTACACTAAAGCACGGAACTGCCAAAGTGTAGTTGTCATATTTGGTTGTTACAATTGGTAGGCTAGATTAGGGTTTCCTATTTGTACCCTTGCTTCCCATTTAGGTATCACATTCTCATTCTGATACGGTATCAATTACCGGTACCAGGTCCGCGCTTCCGCTCATCGACACCTAGCCCACCACCTTGCCCTTAAACCACCTTGTAGACCACCCGCCAGCCGTAGCGCCGCCAGCCAGCCTTAGCGCCACCAGCCAGCCCTTGCATCAACACGCTAGTCAGCCTTCTGAGCAACCCGCCAACGCCCACGCCAGCACACAGCGGACACGGGACCAGCCCGCTCAGCTGCAGCCACGCGCCAGCAGCAAAAGCGCGAGCAGCACACCACTAGCGCCACTTACTTATAGAAGTTCCTACTGCCGTTCCTAGCACCGTTCCTAGCGCAGTTCCGACCGCCGTTCCCAGCGCGTTCCTCGTGTTGTTCCTACCGTCGTTCCTAGTGCCATTCCTAGCCGGCTGCTCAGCACAGTTGTCGACTAGACCCGGCTAGCCTTCTGTCAAATCATACTTATACGCCCACGCCAGCACACAACGGACATGGGACCAGCGCGCTCAGTTGCAGCCGCACGCCAGCAGCACAAGTGTCAGCAGCGCACCACTAGCGCCTCTTACTTACATCCGTTCCTACTGCCGTTCCTAGCACCATTCCTAGAGCAGTTCCCACCGCCGTTCCCAGTGCGTTCCTAGTGATGTTCCTACCATCGTTCCTAGTGCCATTCCTAGCCCGCTGCTCAGCACAGTTGTCGACTAGACCCGGCTAGCCTTCTGTCAAGTTATACTTGTATCTTATTTATGTATGATAGGCTACAGTAAGGCATTTAGTATAGGGTATAGCACATTTCTCGACATCTGCTAGTATTTTTCTCGCTACTAGTCTACCCCATTCCGCTAACTAACTCTGAGATGGTATCATGTCCTTAGCTCCTAGGCCTATTTACCTACCTCCTAGACCAAACCTCCTATTTAGCTCACGCCAGCCAGCCGTCCCGTCCACCTCCATCGCGCCCCCCTAGGAGCAGCGCGCACCCCTAGAACCAACGCGTGCCCCGCTGTAGGCAGCGCGCGCACCTCTAGCAACAGTGCACGCCCCGTCGTAAGCAGCGCTCGCACCACGGGAGCAGCGCGAGCACTGCCAGAGCAGCGCACAGAGTGGCGCGCACGCACTACCACAGCAGCGCCCATAGCAGCTCAATGCTGCATTGCGCACAACAGGCAGAGCACTAGCAGTTCTAGCTAACAGCCGTGCACGATTGCGCCCAACGCAGTATACCCGCCCACCCGTAGCTGCCCACAGCCCCTCCCAGCCATCCACAACCCCTCCTAGCCATCCTCAGCCCCTTACTGCCACCCACAGCCCCTCCAAGCCGCCCACCACTACCTACTTTTGTCCATTTTCGCTTACTGCCACCCATAGCCACCCACAAGGGCACACTCCCCCCCCCTTGCATACTTACCATTACTGGCGACACTACTAGCCGCTGCTGAAAGCCACTTCACCGTTCCACTAGCACCGTTAGTGTTTGTGCGAGCCAGTTGTCCCTAGCTCCAGCGGCTCTTTACTCCGACCGTGTCTCACTCCAGCCATCCCTAGCTCCGGCCATTCCTCACTCTGGCCACTCCCCGCTCCAGCCGCTCCTAGCTCGAGTTGTAAACTCTAGCTCAAACTGCATGTCCTCTAGGATGTTACCGCCAAGGGCAGACTCACCTCTGACGCTCCAGACATCCTGACTTCTCATACTTGCACCTTAGGCAATTTCGGGACAGTCGGCCTCTCACTAATTTGCAGCCATGGACTTAGAGGTGGCGTCTTGGAGGTCCACAGGAACGTACGTCGACGCACTTTCCCCTCCCTGGGGGAGCGTAGTCGATGTCATGAGGATGTTCAAGGTGAATCGGTCGCCTGGATCGCCGATTGTCTTCAAGGCGCGCTACATGGCGAACGGCTTCAATCAGCATGAGGGAGTGTACTTCTTTCAGACCTTCTCCCCCACCCAGAAGATGTCCACTCTTCGGATGTTGCTACACAGCACAGCAAGACTATGAGCTGCACTCACTAGAATTCTTCACTACCTTCCTCCAAGGCTGTCTTCACGAGGAGATCTGGCTGCGCCGTCCTCCTGGATTCACTGGCACTTGTCCGCCTGGGACTCAGTGGAGCTTGAGATGACTAGTCTACGGTCTCTGTTAGAATAGTGAACGGAATGAAACAGAGAAGAGAGTTTCACTAGCAGGCAGTTGAGTACATATAGCAAACCCTAACAGGGCTGTACTCACTATAGAGTACCCCACTGCAGACTAGAGAAATTACACATTCTGACACACCCCCATAGTCAAAGTGGGGTATGATCAGCACAACAAGCAGCAGTTTATAGCTCACAAATATAAGCAAAGCTAGAAGCTATCACAGAGGGCAAGTGTGGAGGAGGAGGGACTATGAGAGGAGAGGAGGTAGTGGGCGGCAGCTGAAGCTGCTGGCACACGGCGCAACTGGAGCAACTGGCACACGGGAAACTGGAGCAACTGGCACACTGACAACTGGAGCAACTGGCACACAGGCAACTGGAGTAACTGGCTCCGCGGCTAACTCTGAGCGGCAGGAGCAACGGACCCACGGGCGACTGGAGCAACGGGCTCACGGGCAACTGGAGCGACGGGCTCACGGGCGACTGGCGCAACGGTCTCATGGGCGACTGGAGCTGTTGGCTTCACGGCGACCACCCCCCTTCAACCTCCCCCAACTGTCCCACCCCCCTTTCACACACCCCCTGCTGCACCCCTAGCTACAATCCCGTGTCACCCTCCTAGCGCCACTCCCTCGGCTCCCACACATCCACCCCCCTCAGCGGCAGCTGCAACAGTGGGAGACGGAGGAGGAGGAGCAGGGGACAACTCATACACCCGCCACCCCCATACCCGCCACCCCACAGGTGCACGAGGACAGGAGGCGGCAGGGGCGGCTCGCGGGCTGCAGGGGCGGCACGCAGGCTGCAGGGGCGGCAGGGGGGGGCAGCGCGCGGGCCCCCGAGGGCGCCTCGATGGGCGACGGAAAGAGGGAGGGGCCGCGCGCGGGCCCCCGAGGGCGCCATGACGGGCGAGGGGAGGGGGCCGCGCGCGGGCCCCGGAGGGCGCCACGACGGGCGACGGGAGGGGGCTGTGCGCGGGCTCCCGAGGGCGCCACGACGGGCGACGAAATCGCCGCACGCCTCGGGGCGCGCGACGGGCAGGGCACCGTCGCGCGCCACGGAGTGCACGACGGGCAGGGCAGGGCGTTACGCGACCACCAGGGCAGCGCGACGGGCAGAAAACCGCCGCGCGCCCCGAGCGCGCGGCGTGAAGAAAAAACGCCGCGCGCCACGAGCGCGCGGCAGGCAGAAAATGCCGCCCGCCCGGGGCGCGCGACAGGCAGTACAGAAGCGGAAGCATCGGGTGGGCCCTGTCAAACAATATATATGTTTCTGTTGTGTAGGCTACAGTGGGTTAGCCTTTAGGGGGTACATTTCACTAGGGTTTACTACTTGTACTCCAACAACTTTCTAGTTCAACACTTCTTGTTTCTGAAATGGTATTAAGAGCTTAGGTTCTAGACCTAAGGGCCCACCGTTCCGCTAGGGGTGCCCTCGTGCGCCCCCTTTTTTTTTAGCGCCCTCGTGCGCCTCTCTCCTAGTGCGCCCTCGTGCGCTCTCCTCTCACGCTGCCCGTGTGCAGCCCGCTAGCAGCCCGAGCGCGGCCCCGCTGTTTTAGCGCGCGCGTAGGAAATCCGCTGCCTAGGGCGGCCCGATTTTTTCTCGCGAGCCCCAGCAGGCCGTCGCCCGTAGGCCCCGCTCGCCCCTAGGCCGACGCGCGACCCACAGCCGCCCGCCCGCAGGTCGCAGCCAGCGCGCCGCGGCGATCGCGCGTCGGCTGCTGCAGCTCGCGCTTAGCAGCCGCTAGAAAGCAGCCGCGGCCCGCGCGCAGCCGCACCCTAGGCGCCGCCGCGCACCGAGCATAGGCCCGCCGTCGCGCCGCCATACCCACCCGAGCCGCGCCGCCCGAGTCGCACCGCCCGAGTCGCGCCGCCCTGACCGAGCCGCGCCGCCCTTCCTGCA